AGCAGTAGTGAGTTCTAGTTAGGAAACTGTAACATAATTTGGACGTGATCTTGAGCAAAGCACTTAGTGTCCTCTCAATTTTCTATTTCCTCATGTGAGATATGAAAGGTTTTGGCTAGCCTAAATGATTCAATTTGTTACATAATCAGATAAATATATCATTTAATCAAATTAACTACATCAGTGTATCAGTTCAGCCAAAATATTTAAGTCATTTATATTAGAAAGACTGCAAGCAATCAGAAAGCTAGATTTTTATATCTGAGAACCTCAGTGTTAGTTTTCTTAACATTAGTACTACTTGCCAAGTAATGGCAACTTAAAAGATCTTTCTCAAAACATGGCAGTATTATATTATCTCTACTGCAATATTTTTTTTCAGGAATATAATCACAGCTTGACTATTACCAGGGCCTTAGAGTACAAATGAAAAAAAATCATTAGCTTTTACAATCCTACTTTATCCTGGAACTCAATAAAGAAAGTTAATATCCTTCTTTTAAAAAGGAGGGAAAAAAAGATTACTATATTCCCATTCCTCAAAAAAATAGAATATTCAAATGAAGAGTAAATAGACACTGACCTCTCCTCTTTTTTTATTTTTTCTAACTTCAGAGCTCTCTGATTTGAATAATTTTCTCTTCACCAAAACTAGTAGAATATTTTACTTTATCAACAGGTTATTTTTTTTATTGCAAAGCTGTAGCATCACAGTATACTTACAATGAAAAATGCATGGGATTTGGAGTCAGGACATCTTTGAGACTCTGTTTACCTCCTATATATATAATTTGAGTAATTTCTTTAACACCTTTGAATCTTGGTTTCCTTATTATTAACAAGACAGTAGCAGTAATATTTGTCACTGGAACTTCTGTTGGTAAGAAATTAAATAATAAATGTAAATCATAAAGGCTAGTTTGCATTCTTATTAGCACTAACTTTATACAACTATTTTAAAATATTTTATATTTAATAAACTGTATTATTTTCTTCTGACTACATATAGAAACATCACACCTTTATAGAAAGTATTATTAAGTTCAAATATTAAAAGTAGAAGGAAGGAAGAGGAATGGAACTAATATTTCTGGAATACCCTGCCATGGCATCATGATGGAAAAGGTAGGGAATGCTTTATTTTCTAACTCCAACATAATGTACTATCTAACTCCCGTATAAGAGACAGGGCGTCTCCACATTATCACCTGTATAAGAGAAGGCAACTTAACTTTTTGGGGTTCTGAAATTGTAGAACAAAGAAGAGTTCCCCCAATATGGAGAAACTCTAGTTTTTCTTTACCACTTCCTTTCTGCACCATTTCTCCAAATTTTATTTTTTAATATATAAAGCATTATAAGTATATAGCTTACAAGTCTAATAAATGTGTTTCCACACAAATCTGCAAACCGATTTGTATATCAGAAGACTGCTATTCAAGTTTGAATTCAGGTGGATATTTAGCTGAAATGCCATGAGGGAAAAAAAAAAAGGACAAAGTAAAATCATCTTCATTGTGAATTTGAGATAATTACTTTTCAAAAATCACCGCAGCCCCAATCCAAGGAAGAGCCACAAGGTTTAATTGTGGGTGTGCTATTTACAGATTAATTAGGACATTTAACTTCATTTTTTATACCACAGAATTAATCCCATAAAAATTAGTGATCTCGAAGGAGTCAGTTGTCAACTCTGACAAGATCTCTTTGCCATAATCTATTAAAATGCTGCTTTTATCTTGTCTTGCCTGTGTCATATTTTATGGATTTTTTCATAAACACTGCCTATACTTCATAAATGTCTCAATTTTCTAGTCTATTAACATTACTTCAAAAGCAATTGATAAAAGAGTAGGGCATGCATGAAATAATACACCAATAATGTGAAGTGCTGGAGGCAAGAACAGTGGGTAGGATCTGCACAGCTTGTGAGCTGAAACAATGAAAGGATGTTTTATCTACTACAATAAAGAAACAAATGATCATTTTTGATAGTAGAAAAAAGATTGCTAGTAATTGGGTAGATGAAAAATGGGTTATACAGAAAATACAGCATAGTTTGAAAGTGATAACTGAAATGAGAAAATAAATGTCCCCAAGTATATATTTACATTAGTGGAAACCTTTTCCCTTATGTTACCAAAGATTTGGTATTCCATTTGATTTGTCTTAGTTCTAGATATGATAGTTTTATTCTGTATATAAATATTTCCTTTTTATGCATATATTTTTACCAAACCTATATATGTATTTTATGTGTTGACTACAATAAATGTTGGAATTTGGGTTTTTAATCTTTTAAATTATATGCATATGATTAAAATTTAATTATATACATATAATTAAAATATATTTAATTAAATATATATTATATATATTTAATTATATATAATATATATATTATTTTTGAGATGGAATCTCATTCTGTTGCCCAGGCTGAAGTGTGGTGGCACTATCTCAGCTCACTGCAACCTCTACCTCCCGGGTTCAAGCAATTCTCCTGCCTCATTCTTCCAAATAGCTAAGATTATAGGCGCGTGCCACCACACCCAGCTAATTTTTTATATTTTTGGTAGAGACAGCGTTTCACCATGTTGGCAAGGCTGGTCTCCAACTCCTGACCTCAAGTGATCCCCCCACCTTGGGATTATAGGCATGAGCCACTGCACTCAGCCTAATTTTTTTATTCTAGTTTTTGAAGTTAGTTTAATTTTTCTTTTAATGTATAGATGATATGTCTATAGCATCTGCTTTAGATTTCTTCAGTGCTAATATGAGACCTAATATAATAAAATAAGAATCTTAATTTGGATTTGTACTACAAATTTAGTTGAACAAACTGACTTTTCAAAACTTATTTCATACTTATGTATTTAAATAAACTAAATGAAAAGCAAAGAGGACAACAGTCACTAAGCAAAATACAGAATTTCTGACTTTTCTTTCATTTTTTTTTTTTTTTTTTTTTTTTTTTTTTGAGACGGAGTTTCGCTCTTGTTACCCAGGCTGGAGTGCAATGGCGCGATCTCGGCTCACCGCAACCTCCGCCTCCTGGGTTCAGGCAATTCTCCTGCCTCAGCCTCCCGAGCAGCTGAGATTACAGGCACGCACCACCGTGCCCAGCTAATTTTTTGTAATTTTAGTAGAGACGGGGTTTCACCATGTTGACCAAGATGGTCTCGATCTGTTGACCTGGTGATCCACCCGCCTCGGCCTCCCAAAGTGCTGGGATTACAGGCTTTTTCTTTCATTTTTATTCTTTGTGTTTTACCACCTGACTTAGCTAAATGAAGCCAGATATTGTGTGAGCTTTCATTCTTAAGGCATCATGTTATAAATAGAGTGACTTTAGATCCAAGTATGTCTGCACAGTCCTGGTATTTTTCCATAATTAACAATACCTCCTTCTTTCACTCTCGTAAGTGTCCTGGCTTGGATGATAAAGTCACTGTTACCTATTAAAATATGTGATCAAATGAATATTGGAAGAAATGTTTGGACAATACATATGGTTTTATATTTCTCTAAACCTACATAGTACTATCTAAAATAATTAGTGTGATTTAGTATTGAGAAAGGTCCTTGGTTCTTGATTCATATAATTCCTTTTTTTTAACTTGTAAATAAGACCATTTTATTGTTGCTCAGATCAAGAAATACTCTCAGATAACTTGAGTGTGATTATTCACTTCTAATACTTGAAAAAATGATGATTTTTCTCATCCTTGATAGATGGTGATAGAATACATTGCTGAACTGTATTGATAGAATACATTGCTGAATAGTGGCACTCTGTAAAACAGGTAATGTAGTGGAGTAAAGCACAGGACTCAGCATAATGATGATGCCATATGTGCCTGTGAGCTTACAGGGGCACAGAAGATCATGATCAAGGGGATTCTTTAGTTCTCAAACGTTGCAAACAATATTTGAAACTCCCAGTCCTTGGTACTAACCTAAGGAAACAGTCAACAGAATTATGTAGGAAATCCAGATTTACCACATGGGGTGAAAGATAATACCCAACATAATAGTTTATTAATTTGACTTAATTCCCACTTCTCTGCCATTTGCCTTTTCCCACCTCAGGAAACAACATAAAAATTCACCCAGTTGCTCAAACCAAACACCTAGGCATTTTTCATGTTCCCTCTTTTGTCCATTACATCCTTCAACAAATGCTGTCTACTTCTACTCTGGCCACCTCCTCCATGATTTATTCTCAATGTAGTACTCAAAATGATTTTTTTGGGGGGGTTCTGGACTTTATCATGAATATTGGGTTTTACCAAAAACATCAGGGAAATGATTTATTAGCATAAGAATTATAAAAATAGGCAGCGGGTGGGCGGCATGTCTGCGGCAGGTGGGGAGACACCTGGGGACACGGGGGTCGAGGGCACTGCTGCTGCGGGTCGGTTCAGCTTCAGCCCGGAGCCCATGCTCAAGGACATCCGCCACCTCCATGCTGAGTTTGCTGCTGAATGAGACTGGGAACAGTTCCATCAGCCTCGGAACCTCCTCCTGGCCTTGGTCGGGGAAGCAGGGAAGCAGGCAGAACTCTTTCAGTGGAAAACTGATGGGGAGCCTGACCCCCAAGGCTGGTCCTCCAGGGAACGGGCTGCCCTTCAAGAGGAGCTTAGTGATGTCCTCATCTACCTGGTGGCATTAGCAGCCCGCTGCCATGTGGATCTGCCCCAAGCAGTGCTCTCCAAAATGGACATCAACCGGTGACACTACCCAGCCCATCTGGCCCGAAGCTCTTCCTGCAAGTATACAGAATTGCCCCAAGGGACCATCTCTGAAGACCAGGCCACGGGGCCTGCGGACCTTCCCTGTGATTCCACGGGCCAGGCCTCAACCTAGAAAGAAGGTCATAGGACTTGCAACTCAGGGCAGTGTCTGAAGAACAGAGGGTGGCTTGGCTCTGGAATCTTTTTCTAGTCTCATCCAAATAGATCATGGGCACGAGGCCTCCACTTCCTGAAGTCTGAAACTCAGCAGCTGCTAGAAGGTTCCCTCCTGATGTTTGCTCTCCCAGTAAAGTGGTTTTGAGTAATAACTTCTAGATTCTTCCTGGATGGCCAGGGAGGCTCTCTATTTCAGCAGGTGATGGTGAGGGGACCAGGGTGCCTCTGAGCCCCATTCTCGTTTCCCTATTGTACCTTCTGCCTGTAGGGCAGAGAGATCTGGTTTCTAGAAAATTCCCAGTAGGATGTCATGTAAGTTCCTCCCTCTCCTTTTAGAGATTGAAGACTGTAAAAGTCCAGATGCTGGAGCCAGGCTGGCACCTACCACGGGGACAGTGACCTGCAGCTGGAACACATCAATCTGTACTACAACAAGGCTAGCAGTGGCAGGTGCATGGCCCATGCTGTGCTCGTGGATCTGGAGCCAGGCACCATGGACTCTCTGCGCTCAGGGCCCTTTGGGCAGATCTTCAGGCCAGACAACTTCATCTTTGGTCAGTGTGGGGCCCGGAACAACTGGGCCAAGGGGTACTACACAGAAGGCACGGAGCTGTTGGAGTCGGTGATGGATGTGAGAAAATAAGCTGAGAGCTGTGACTGCTGCAGGGTTTCCAGCTGACCCACCCCCTGGGTGGGGGGACTGGGTCTGGGATGGGTACCCTTCTCATGGGCAAAATTCACGAGGAGTACCCAGACAGGATCATAAACACATTCAGCATCCTGCCCTCGCCCAAGGTGTCAGACACCGTGGTGGAGCCCTACAATACCACCCTCTCTGTCCACCAGCTAATAGAAAATGCAGACGAGACGTTCTGCATCGATAATGAAGCCCTCTATAACATCTGTTCCAGGACCTTAAAACTGACCACACCCACCTACGGTGACCTGAATCACCTGGTGTCTGCTACCCTCAGTGGGGTCACCACGTGCCTGTGCTCCCCGGGCCAGCTGAATGCCGACCTGCGGAAGCTGGCCATGAACATGGTTCCATTTCCCTGGCTGCACTTCATGCCCGGCTTTGCCCCGCTGACCAGTCGGGGCAGCCAGCAATACCGGGCCCTGACCATGGCTGAGCTCACTCAGCAACTCTTCGATGCTAAGAACATGATGGCCGCCTGTGATCCCCATCATGGCCACTACCTAACCGTGGCTGCCATTTTCAGAGGTCGCATGTCCACAAGAGAGGTGAATGAGCAAATGTTCAACATTCAGAATAAGAACAGCAGCTACTTTGCTGAATGGGTCCCTCACAACGTGAAAACAGCCGTCTGTGACATCCCACTCCAGGGGCTAAAAATGTCGGCCACCTTCATTGGTGACAACACAGCGATCCAAGAGCTCTTTAAACATGTCTCAAACAGTTTACAGCTATGTTCAGGCGCAAGGCCTTCCTGCACTGGTACACAGGCAAGGGCATGGATGAGATGGAGTTCACCGAGGCCAAGAGCAACGTTAATGACCTGGTGTCAGAATACCAGCAATACCAGGATGCCATAGCTGAGGAGGAGTTTGAGGAGTGTGCTGAGGAGTAGGTAGCCTAGAAGCCTCCTTTTCTAGGTAAAGGGGGAAGCAGTGTGGATTCTTTAGTGTGTTCTGATAGCCATTGTCACTATGCACTTCTTTGAGTCTTTACATCTCCTCCTGCTGCATTTTAAAGCATTTTCATAGTAAATAGTTTGACCTAATAAAACACTTTCATAGCAAACAAAAAGAAGAAGAAGAAGAATATAAATCTGATTGCACAATTCAATAGCTCCCATTACAGTTAAAATAAAACCCAAGCGTCTCACTGTAGCCTATGAGAACTATGTGATTAAACCCTTGTCTGCCCCATCTCCTACCACTTTTTTATTTTTCACTGTGCTCCATCTCCCATTTTTTGCTCATTCAGCATGCCAACCTTGTTCTCACTTGCTGTTGCCCTTGCGTGGGTGGCCTAGGACAAATGATTTTCTTCCTAAATATTTGTGAAATCCATTCACTTTTTACCACCTCTGTGCTCACAGTCCTAGTACAAGCTCCCATTGTCACTTACCCAGACTGCCCTAGCAACTTCCTCACTGGTTTCTGCATGTTAACTTGGCTATCCAGTCAGGGCGATATTTTTTAAGTGCATATTTTATTGTGTTTAGCCCTTTGTGGAACCCTAGAACTAACTATATTCTAGGAGCTGAACATACAGCCCTGGCCTTGTAGAGTTTATGTTTTATTGGAACGACAGAGACAGCAGAGAAAGATGCATCCAAGAAGTCAGATTCAAATCCACTGACTGAATTACTTAAGTGTCTTACTAAAGTGGTCCTACTAAGGAACATGGTTGGTGCGGGAGAGGTGGACAAAGACTTGGAAGTTGAAACCAAAAAAGAATGTGACAAGTATGGCAAAGTTGGGAAATGTGTGATGTTTGAAATTCTCATGCCCCTGATAATGAAGCAGTATGGATATTTTTAGAATTTGAGAGAGTTATATCAGCAATTCAAGTGGTTGTTGACTTGAATGGGAGGTATTTTGGTGGACAGGTGGCAAATGCATGTTTCTACGATTTGGACAAATTTATGGTCTCGGTTTGGCAGAACAAGTTTGATTTTAAGAACTAGAGCGGGCCAGGTGCAGTGGCTCAAGCCTGTAATCCCAGCACTTTGGGAGGCCGAGGCGGGCGGATCACAAGGTCAAGAGATTGAGACCATCCTGGTCAACGTGGTGAGACCCCGTCTCTACTAAAAATACAAAAAATTAGCTGGGCATGGTGGTGCGTGCCTGTAATCCCAGCTACTCAGGAGGCTGAGGCAGGAGAATTGCCTGAACCCAGGAGGCGGAGGTTGCGGTCAGCCGAGATCGCGCCATTGCACTCCAGCCTGGGTAACAAGAGCAAGACTCTGTCTCAAAAAAAAAAAAAGAACTAGAGCACAAGTCATCTCCGGTGATTCTTAAATGAACTGTAGGCTGAGAAAAGAAGGAAAAAGGTCACAGCCTCCATGGCTGTTACATACTGAGACTCTTGGAAGGACTTCTAAGATATATATTGATTGGTCCTTTTTTTATTTTGTGGTTTTTAAAAATATATTATAAAAATTTTTTAAAGAAAATGTTACAGGTAAGGTTGGAGAGATATGAGGCAGTAATAAGAGATAAAGAGCAGTGGATTTGGCATATATTCTAGAGGCAGAACTAACAGAGATTGCTGGTGATTGGTGATGGAAAGGTAGAAATTAAGGATGATACCTAGGTTTTTTCCTTGACCACCAAATAAATGGTAGTCTTACACATTGAAATAGAGAAGAGTAGGGAAGGGGCAGGTTTGTTAGTGGAGAGAAATCAAGTTTTTTTGATGGGGGTAAGGCGGATGGCTGGAGCAGGTTAAATTGACTGTATCTAGTAGATCACCAAGTATCAAGCAGGTAGATGATTGTGAGTCTAGAACTCAAGTGAAGGTCGGGGCTGTAGATACAAAATGGAAAATCATCGCATACAGATAGAGATTAAAGTCTAGGAACTGAATAAAGTCACCTATAGAGAAAAGGAGAAGTGAAGAGGAGAGAGGTCAAGTCCTATAGCACATTTAATAAGATCAGGCAATATCCTTACCAAAAAAATATGGTATCTCAGAAGAAGAAATGAGAGACTGGTGAAAAAAAAATAAAGAATTAGGTCATGGGACAAATGCTGCTCTGAATAGAATAAAAAGACAGGGACTGGCCTCAGAATTTGTCAAAATGAAAATTGTTGAGAACTTACAAGACTGTATTCAACCGATTGGTAGAAATAAAAACCTAAAGGTTTAAAAAGAAAAATAAGGGAGGGAAAAGAGTAGATACAGACCTCATTTTCAAGGAGCTTTGCTATAAAGGGGAACATAAAAAAGGCAGTTGACAGCAAAAATTGAGAACAAGGGGTTAAAAAATTGGTTTCAAGTTTGGAGTCCTTATAGCATATTGTTTATGTTAATGAGTATAATCCATGAAAAAGGATAAAACTGAAGACACAGGATAATGAAATCATAATTTCAGAATCTAAATCTTTGTGTTGGCAAGATGGGTTGGAACTTGAAGTAGGGTGATTAGTCTTAGGAACAGGGACAATTCTATTGTGATCCTAGTGAAGGTGCAGCACATGGTCTCATCAGGCTATAGACTTGGTATTGAGAAGGTGAAGTAAGAAATCAGGCCATCAGTTTAGAGAAGATGAAATAAAAAATGGTTGTGAGGAGAAAGAGAAAGTTAAAATACTAGGAAAATATAGTAAGATTGGGCAGCATTAAATGCCTGCTAGAAATTTATCATCATAAATGTAATGTAAAATCTGTCTCCAATTATGTGTTTTTCTCTAACAACATTCAGGAGCTTGAATAGTGGCACAACGTAGCTGGAGAGTTGAGTGTAGTTTTTGGGATTTTGACAAGAAAATATGACAGAGTAGCAAGGAGCATAGGAATTATGGGTATGATTAAAGTGATGGAGGCTGGAATCTGAGCCAAGCAAAGAAGGATATGAGCATATTGGGAGTGGTAGTGCTATAGTAAAAAGTGGTAGGGTCAATAAATTGGAGGTCTGAATGAAATATACACATTTTAGAGGAAGGGAGCTAGAATAAGTAGGCTTTACAATTAGAAGATGGTAGTTAGCAAATCTGCACTTAAAATCAGAATTTTGGAAGTAATGTGGTTATTGGTGATGACAAGGCCAAACAGCATTTCTAAAATTTTTTAAAATGGACATAGTAATATGATGTTTAATGCAACTCAATATGCACAATACCTATATGATATGTAATTGAAAAAACTATGAAATAATATTTACCTGATTTCATTCAATAAACTTTACCATTTTAAAATCTATTCTATCTTACTTAAAAGGAAAAAAATTGGTTATAACTGGTTATAAATTGATTTTTATTATTACTAATGGATCAAACTTTGCATTCTGAAAACACAGCTCTAGTGACCATAGGAATGATTGGTGTGGGGTGGAGGAAAGTGTTGTTGGTATTGTAGAATTCAGACACCTAAGAGTCCACAGTGTCAGATGGATTATCTACCTAGATGTGAAAGCCATCAGGGATGATGACAGGAGTAATGGCATGGAGGAGAACTATGAAAGTGGTGGTGTAGTCTGGTAGTGCTTTGTGCCTCTAAGAGACGGGAGATTTTAAAGAGCTAGAGAAGTCACATTACCTCCAGGTCCTAGAATGTGGGTGGGAAAGAAAAAGCAACTTTCATTTTGAAGTACCCAGAAAAAGATGCAGACTTAGAGTCCTGTCTTCACTGTGAGGAAAAAGTCAACAGAAAAAATTGTGGACATGGAGGGGTTTTGTTACTGAGAGATTCTGATTTCCATAGGGTCTAGGGAAAGGCTTTGGGAGGTCAGAGATGAGTTAAATGAAAATGACTTGGGAGACTTAGACTGAAATTAAATGTGGGTCTGATTAGTTTTGATGGTAACACAAGGAAAAGGGGGTAGTGGCCCATATTAGCCTTCTTCACAGGCTTGGTTTCTGAGCTAGTTTGTAGAAGTGAGATGGTAGTGTGTTAGTGAAGGAAGAAGAGCCTCCCTGGGAGCAAGGTAGTGCCAGCAACTGCCCTTCAAATCTGAGGTAACCAACATGGCAACAGGAGGGAAAATTGGGGCTGTGAGGAAAGGCAATGTGACTGAGCCCCGTGAACTCACCATGCAGCAGGACCTGTACACATATCTCATCCTGTTCCTGGAAACTAACTAGCTGTTTGTCTTCTCTTTGATTTCTGCACAAGTCTCATAGCTTTAGGAAAACCTTCCCTGACTCCACTGGCCTCCCTGATCCAGTTCTTATAGCACTTGTACCTCATCTTTATCTCATAAGTCACAGCTGCAGTTTTATATCTATCTGTGGGATTGTTTTGTTAAGTTTGACTCCTTTGCTAGACTAGCCTCTATGCAAAGGGACTGTACCTCTTTTTGTTTACTATTGTATCTCAAGCACAGTATTTAGTATATAATAGGTGCACACAAAGTTAAATTTGTTGAATTAATAGGATCAGAGTTAGCAGATATTGAAGACAAAAAAAACGAAGGAAACTAAAGAGGACCAACAGGAGGTACTGTTGAAGTTAAAGTTGCAAGGAGCATTTCTTGTTCCAACTACTAAGTCTCCTTTTGAAGGTCTACAGCTCAATCCTCATGGACATGACCCAACTGATCTTGAAGGGACAATACTATGAACCTTCTGTCTGAAAGCAAAGAACTATTTAAAGACTACATTAATAATAACAGTAATCACAAGAGGGATATGAGATGGAAATTTAGGGGGAACAAGAAGTCTAAAGCAACTTCAAAGGGAACTCCTTTAAGAACCTAGTTCTAACTAAGGAAATAACAATTGTTACAGTTCTTCAAGGACTGAGGGACAGGATAGATCCAGGGGATAAAAGGTACACTTGGGTTGTGGGTGGAGTAGGAGGAGAGGGGGATAGGAGTGACATCACAGCATTTTTGAAGCAGGGAAACAACTGGCTCTATATGGAGTCAATTCAGGAACTAGGGCACTTTGAAGAGTGCGGCCATGGCCAAAGACAGTTTTGGAAAAAGGGCTGAGTTAGTCAAAGTTGGAGCAAACCATTGAACTGGCTGAGAGGTGAAACTCTCTCCCTACTGAATAGGACTTAGAGCCTAGAGATTGGAATGCCAATGGTTTTATGGTAACTGTGCCCCTTATGCTAACAAATGTCACCCAAGATAAATAAGACAATAGTACAGAGTTAGCTAATCTTGGAAAAGTCATAACAAAGTTGAAGAATCACCACTAGGGAAGATTTCATTCTGTTTCCATTTGAATTCTCCACCAGTCAGGAACACCATTACATTCCTTTCACACCCATTACCTCTGTGCGTTTACAGTGCATCCTCTTCCTTTGTCTTGTTAAGACCTGAATTTCAGAAGTGATTTTCCCCCTTGCTAGATCATCATTCAATAGCAGAATAGGACACCCCTGAGCAATCACTGAGTTTCGTCTTTCTGTCGCAAAGGAATTCAGTGACTCACCTCGAGCAACTACACTAACTCTCTCAGGCCAAGAGGGCACTGGTCAGCATTTTGGAGGAAGTAATTTACTAAATGATGCCCTTGTGGCCAAAAAGACTCAACACACATAAAAGGAGAAACCGTAGATCACTTCTCCTGCTCAGAGTGTTGGAAACAATTAGGATTAATTATGTGTTTTTGTGTGGAAGTGGTGATACGAATTTCAGTGGCATACAGGAAAAGGAGATAAGCCTATTTTTTAAAGAAAATAGTTCCGGTTTAGGTCCATTTTAGCTGCACAGTATCATTATGAGATATGAGAAAGAGATAACTAAATTATTCATATTATAATTTTATTTGTGCTCTATTCTTTATTTTTCCTGGAAAATGTCCCTATTTGTTATTAAAACTAGCATATTTTATAAAGAGATTTATGTTAATTACACAGAAAGCTGCCTTAGAATAGCAAATTCTATAGTGAATTTCAGAGTTTTTAAAATGTGTGATCTCTGTGCTGTAGGATATTTCTTGCTAATGGTTCATGCCATCTATATATCTAGTGATCTTTGAACCTTATGTTCATTATTATGGTTATAGCTATACCCAAATGGCAGCATATTATTAAAATATGAGATAATGATTGAAGAAACTAGATATAAGTATGCTTGTAAAGGAAAACAAACCTTCTAGGAGTAAGTTTTTAGAAGGCAAAATAATACCTTTAAAATGTTATACTCAAAGTAAACATATTACGACAGATGAGAAATGCCAGATTTTCAGTCAAAGAGGGGGAGAAACTGAAGTGAGTATCAAAAGCCATCTCAAAAAAGTTGCTCACTTTTAAAAAAAACTACATTTTTTTAAAAGTAGTAAGTTTCCCAGCATTTTTAATATGAATTTTCTGTTATTCAAATGAATAAATATAACATTATTTTCATTTTGGTACTTTCTAAAGTCCTGATCCTACCAATACGTGAATCATCACTAACTTTGCAGTATTGACTTTTAGCCCTGTAGGCCGACTTCTGTGTCAAGAAGGCCAGAAGCCTGAAAAAAATAATAAAGACTTATCCCAGTCACCAGTTGAACAAATTCTGTTATCATATTAGTCCTGAACATTTAGGGGGAAAAATAATATCAAATATTATCATACCAAGGTACAGAAATATCAGTCTCACAACAGAGACCCAGACGTGGAGGGCTAATGTTAAGCTAGATAGATGTCTTGCAGACTAACCAAGAGTAGATCAGACTGAATTTCTCTTTAGAAGAAGATATAGTTTTTATTGGTTAGGACCAGGTAGACAATTTACATTTGTGGTATGTTGTTAATGTAATAATAACTTAATAACATTATCAGGTGTCTGCAGCAGGTTTACTTTGGGTATAGCTATAAAGATTATATTTTTAGCATGGTAACCTTTTTCCTAAATACTTCTCATCAAAAAAATATGAGAATGCTTTTTGAGATTACACAAACATTTAGATATTTGTATTGATAAATTTTTTACACAACTTCTCCTTTTAGGGCTCAGTTTTAAAAGCTCTCCTGAGAAATGAGGCAAAAGCATTTATATGAGGAAGCAAGAAGGCTGGAAATGAATTAAGTGTAAGAGGAATGGAGTGTCAGTAACTCAGGTCAGAAAAAAAAAGTGAGCAAAGAGAATGGAACAAAATAGCAAAAGAAAAGACCAGTGTGTGAAATTTCCAGTGTGTGAAACTGGAAATAAATAAGTGAGGACTATCTCAGAAAGGAAGAAAAATAAGACCCAGAAAAAAAAATGTATATATCTGAAGAAGGTACCTACCTGACAATATAATTTCCATTAATCTCTACCCACATACTCTTCTTCACATCTTTCTAGTCATTCATAAGCAGACAAAGTCGAACTATTTGCCTTAAGCCCTGAGATATCACATCATCTTTTGTAGCTAGATGCTGGAAGTAAATCCTGGAAATTGGGAGGAGGTGAGAACATTAAGAGATTATGAGAAAATTTAAGCCATTTTTCTTCTAAGTTAGTGTTCATCTTCATAAGAATATCTTATCCAAATGAGTAGAAAATATGAAAGAAGAGCCAAAAATTAACAAATAACAGGTCTCTATAAAGACAACTTAGGAGTGCGACGCTGTGGAGTTTTGCCAAAACATAAAAATCTGCAGGTTAGGATGTTTGTCACTTTTGGTTTATGTGAGGCTTTTTATGTCAGCATGTATAATCTCAAGTAATTAATTATAATAGATTTTAGGAGGTAAAATAAATAATTTAACCTATCCCATTCTCGTATAGTTTCCAAGGATTCCCAAGGTAAATCAAATGTGTCTAAAAGAAACAATGTCCACCATGTAAGTTACTCACAGACAATAAGAGAAGTTGCTTATCTAGGCTCCAAAACCATTAGCCATCCCTTGTAATTTACCTGGATTGCTAACCAATGTTTAATGTATTTTTTCTACTTATTGTTGGTTTTCAGCTCATAGACATGTAGGTTTTTATTTTAAATAACTATCAAATTGTGAAACTTAACAAAAAAATGGCAGTGGGTGATTTTTCTGTAATCCTCCTGCATTAACTTCATTGAGTCTTAGGTTAATTTTTGGCTAATGGTTTTGGAGCCTAGGTAAGCAACTTTCCTTATTGCTGTAAGTGACATGGTGGATATTGTTTCTTTCAGGCATATTTTACTTGTGTTGGAAGTCGTTAATGTTAACTATATGAGAATGTGATAGGTTTAATTATTTATTTTGGCTTCTAAAATATATTATAATTAGTTACTTGAGATTATATGTGCTGACCAAAAAAAAGTATCATACAAACCAAAAGTGATAAACTTTCTAACCTAGTAACAAACAACTATGGCATGCACAAAGGGTGGATGCTTTAAGTGGCAGAGGGAGGGACGGAAGTGGGTAATTATTTGTAGCAATGCTTTTACTGTTGTTTGAAATGAGACAGACTAACAGTGGCAGCAGTCATTTTGCTGAATCAAAGTCCATGTTAGTCGCATTATACACTGCCACAAAAGGTTGTTAAGGCTGGTATTAGCATGTACCACTGAGGACATTGGAAGGACTCGATCTGTCACACTAAATCGCCTTCTTGCCCTCAACCATTGAAGTCTCCAGCTCCTCTGACATGTTCTTTCATTAATGGCCTGGCCTTGACAACTGATCCTAATTGCCTCTGAACCGCACTTCATGTATTATTGGTGTCTGCCTGCCCTGGTTCATGTCAACAAGCCACAGCATGTGCAGGGTGTGCCCAGTGCCTTTGCAGAAATGATGTTCACATCGTCATATTCCTCTGAGGGGACTGGGTCTCATTGGGAGTAAAGTAGAAAGCTAAAGATCTTCCTGTCTCTTCTTTGTAATACCTTAATGTTGATTTGTGCTGTGTACATATTAAGCTTATCTAAGGACTCACTAAAACATTAAACCAATTATGCAACACTGCATTAAGGCACAGATGTAAATGCTGACTTAAATTTGCCCTTGTTTTAGTAAGTGCTAAAATGTGAGTTCATTGCAAAACCTTTTCAACTTTAGTTAGTATGGTTTACATTCCTTTTCAAATTTAGTGTGGTTTACTTTTACTTTGATTATGCATAACAATTTCAATTTGATGTATGATAATGGCCAAAAGAGCCTACAATATAGTTTCCAGGTAGAAATGTGCATTAGACCAGAACTCCCAAAAGTAAATTATTGAAGGTTTGAATAGGATATTTTAGTCTTAACGTTTATCAGCCGATTTATATTTACTACATTTTCTAAAAGTAGCTAAAATAATCAATTTTAATGCATTACATGTATTTTAAACCTTTATTTTGTTCTGACATTTCAGGAAACATTCATAAAGGACAAAACAGTTTAGATACATTTTAATTTATAAGATGAGTTATTTACTTACAGCAAAATACTTTAGATCTAAAATGTAACATTAGAAATGCTCAAGATATTTACCTCTTTTTCTGAAAATGTCTCTGAGATTTAAAATTTGCCTCATTCCTGTGACATTTTTTTACAATCACATCTCTGAACAATAATATGAAATTCTTTCAATCTTTTCATCCTTTTTTATTTATTGACGGCAGTTTTCTGGTGAGCCTTTTAAGCATGCAAGTTCTACCCGTGATCATAAAAAATAAATCACAGAAGCTCTTCGGTGCTAGGTATCATTTAGCCTAATCTAGACGGTGACATTTGGGCCACTAACAGCATAATCATGGTTATTGCTACAAATTGCTCCATGTTTGAGTTTTAATGTTATAAGTAAATTATGCCATCGGATAAAATATATGTTTCTTTGGGAATTAAACATGTTTATTTCAGCAATGTGGCCATGTAATAGCACAGAAACCTAAAGCTTGTTTCATGCAGTAATACTGCCACCTTCTGAAGCCCAAAGGAATTGTTCTCAAGGTTAGCTGTTTTAAGAGATTTCTCAGGTGGCCATTCGTAGTGATCCAGCAGCCAGAAACTTCTAAGTTTAGAAACTGTCTGGTTTTTATCATAGAAGTGATAAGTTTGATTTTAACTCTTAATTTTAAATAAGTAAAATGAATACCGGTATCCAACAGTCAGTAAAAATACTGTTTCCTGTTTTCATTTTACCCCCAAAAGCCTTATTTTCTGGACTTTAGAACTATCATTTTTGGTGATATATAGTTTCCTGTTAAAAAGCTCTGTTGATATAAAGCTAATTCTGGTATAGAAGTTACACAGCAAGAGCGATTGCCTAGCAGAAGTGGGGCAGTGGTGGCCACAGCTGGGATTGTGAGATGGGGATGGCAAATGTTTTCCTATCATTCAATCAGACAGTATGCCCTTCAGCAGAACAACAAGCCCTCCTGATTCTTTAGAATTAGTGAGATTAGCATGAAGCACATAATGCAGGATGATGGGATTTGTCATAATTTGCATTGTCCTGGAAAAATGCGGGTTGATAGAGCGATGCATCTTGGAGCATGTCATGTCCCACGGGCAGGTCACAGAGGAAGCTTGGCAGAAATAATTTTGTGATATGTGCATCAGTTGCAAATGCTTCATAAGTAATTTGTCAAAATAAAATAAATAGGAGGAGGTTAGGAAGGTAGAAAAAGTAGGGTCACTGTAAAAGCATCTTAAAAAAATTAGATATGCCATCCTCAAATATCAAATTTTTAGTGATTACATGAAAATACATACAATGAAAGACTAGTCTTATTCTCCTTTTGGTTTTAAATTTCCAAAGCCTTACTGGTAAATCTTTACCTTTTCCATGGTCTAAAAGTAAAATCTTAGAAAACACATGTGTGTTTCTGCAAAGTTTATTTATGAAAGCCCCTTATAGAAATTATCAAATATAGCCACATTAGGAAAGGTTTTCTGAGAGTTTGCATCTGACCTTGATAATGTTCCCAAACTACAGATAGGAAAGGATAATCAGTGTAGTTGACAAAACTGACGTGACAGTGTTACTTATCTGCAGCATCATTTCTGGAAATGGGCATGTAGAATTCAGACAGGCAACGGAAACATGCGTATTTAGCATAGCATTGCAAGAATGAAAGGTCCAGTGTCAGATATTGTCTATGGTTTATTTATGGAGTACCTGACAGTGATGCCACTGTCTTTGATATTTAGAAAATTCTTCTATCCAAGAACATTATAGCTAGTGTTTACAGGTTATGTTATTTATCATTTCAATATCTGCTTCTGCATAAAGACATTTTGCAATGTCTCCTTTATTTGTCTTTATACATTTCAAACAAAATAGTAATGCTGGCAGTTCAGTAACACTGATCTTTTATGACAGATGAACATTTGTAGGTTGAGGGTCTAATAAGAAAAAAAATTAAGTAAAGAGTTTAAAGAAAATGAAAAAAATAATCACATGAAAATCAGGCTTATAATAAAAATGTATCTTCTTACTACACTGTTCCTAGGAAGAATACTCATTTTCTAAGACGGTTATAATTGTAGAATTAGGTTTTATGAAAACTAAAATTACCCTAGGGCACAGCTCAACATGAATAAATCTTTCAACACCCAGATCTGGAAACATGATACACATGAAACTAATAATGCCCTACAATTACAAGTAGATCAAGAAGAACTGTGCAAACTTTTTAAAAAACATTATTTATTGAATTCTATAACATGAAAGTGGCTCTAAATAATGTTACTTCAGACTATTTTAAATCATTTTTTTTCTGTAAAATAATAGTGCTCTCTATAAACCTCATATGTTTTTAAACTTACCCTCCTGTCTATAATCTTCAAAACTGACTGCTTTCAGACAAACTATTTTACTAATCAGAGATAATAAGTGCTTTATGGTCCCAATTGTTAAAAACTAGATTTTTTGTGAACATTATTTTTCTAATACATCATCCCTTGACTCATAAAAAGATTTTCTTAAATAAATCCTATTTACTGGGTTGGAACATTTCAGCCCAATTTCAGCATTGTGGCTGTAAGTGGATACTCTGTACAATATTTATTTCATTGAGAATTGGTATTGTAGCCTTCAGTCTTGTGCCACATTTTAACAACTTTTTTCTATTGTCTTCTTTTTGCAGTATAATACTGCATCAAAAAGAAAAAAAGGCACCTGTTGCTTCTCCTGTAAAATTTCTTTCCTCATAGGAAATGTGCTTGAAGTGACAGATAATTTGCCTTGTTTAGAAGTTTTCTAGCATTTTCCCCTAAATAGCAAAGCCATAATACTCTTAGATAATCTTTAGGAAAGAACAAAAATAACTCTTATTTCTCTTAACAGAAAATTATGGTAGATGATTTTAAAAAGAAAACCTTTTTTAAATAAGTATACAGCTCACCATTCCCCTCCCAAAAGTTTTAATAAACTAAGGATTTAAATTCCACCTTTTCAGACAAGGTTTTCTAAATTGAATAAACAGGGTAATGTACTGGACAGATCAATTTTTGTATTGTCTTTAGATTTTACGATTCTTCTAGTCTAGATAATGACCACTAACCTAGTAATGCCAGTTTAACTCTCGATGTCTTATGAACTGTTTATTCAGTCACTTGTTCATTCAATCAGTATAGGCTCCTACTGCTTATAGTGCCTATTCTGTGTCCTTTGAAGGATACCGTGCAAGAGTTTATTTCCCAAAGGGATGGCGAGTGAAGTGAGCAGAGAAGGTCCAATCAACGATTTAATCGAGAGCTATTTATTGGGCAAAGCACCTCCAGAGTTAATGGCATTGCCACTCCATGAATGAGTCTCAGAAAATGAAGAGATAGCTTAATTAATTAATTAATTATTAGTCTATTAACATGCTATCATCACATCTGGACTGGATCTAGTTCTTGTGTTTGTCTGGAAAATTCATTCCTGCTGCAGTATTAGAATACCTGGAAATTCTCATGTTAATGGAAGGGTAACTAGTTTGTGTTTTTTAATCTACCTAGTCTGTGATGAAACTCAAACATTTATTTGACAATGTTTTTTACTCAGGACAGGTGAATTCATGAAGCACACTATATTTGTTTTCCATTCTGCTTTCACTAGCTTGTCTTTAATAAATTCATTGCCTCAAAGATTATTAGTAGCATTTAGATTATTTTTTCATTTTGCCCCAGCTTCAAGAGCTGCTTCTATGAACTCTTATTATCATTTCAGAGTTATTTGTTTGGGATTCTTTATAGTGAACAAGTAGTCTCAGGCTAAAAAAAAAAAACAAACTCAACGATAAAATAATAATTGAGTCAGTCTAGAATCTCATCAGGAAGAATGTTCCAGAGAAATCTAGTCTAGATATTTCTGGACATACAGGTAACTTCCTCAAGTAAACAAGAATGTTAGCTAAACAGATTTCCACTGAATTTGAAACTATTTGTTTTTAAATATGAAAGAAACTGATTAAGTAATTATTTAATTTTCATTGAAAATTTCAATTTGAAAACTATTTCTTTAAAGCAAAAATGGTGCATTATTCCATTTTCGCACTGTAGATGAAGACATATCCAAGACTAAGCAGTTTACAAAAGAAAGGGTTTTATTGGACTTACAGTTACACATGACTGAGGAGACCTCACAATCATGGCAGAAGGCAGGAAGGAGCAAGTCACATCTTATGTGGGTCGCAGCAGTCAAAGAGAGCTTGTGCAAAGGAACTCCTCTTTATAAAGTCATCAGATCTCGTGAGACTTACTCACTGTCACAGGAACAGCATGAGAAAGACCCACCCCCATGATTCAATTACCTCCCATTGGGTTCCTCCCACAACACATGGGAATTGTGGGAGCAACAATTCAAGGTAAGAATTGGGTGAGGACACAGCCAAACCATACCAAGTGACTACCATAAGTTCTCTGAAAAGTTATTGGTACTGGAAAACAGGAAAAAATCAAGGCTAGGAATAAAACGTACTTATTTTAGATACGGTTTTTTTTTTTCTCCTGACAAGGGTAGATATCTCGAATGCATCTCAATATGTATACATTTTGGGCCAGGCATGGTGGCTCATGCCTGTCATCCTAATAGTATGGGGGAGCCAAAGTGGGAGAATCACTTGAGCCCAAGAGTTGGAGACCACCCTGAGCAACTTAGCAAGACCTCATCTCTACAAAAACTGAAAAAATTAGCTGAGCATGATGTGCACCTATAGTTCTAGCTAGTGGGAAGGCGGAGGCAGGAAGATTGCTTGAGCCCAGGAGTTCAAGGCTGCAGTGAGCTGTAATTGCACCACTGCATTCCAGCCTGGAGGACAGAATAAGGCCTTGCCTCAAAAAAGAAAAAAAAAAAAAAAAAACATACATTTTGGAGACTTCACCCATGAATCTTCCTTTTATATCTGTCATAGGTTTGCTTCTTTTAATACAAAAGTCATCATACTTGTTTCTGGTTCAAACTTGCCTGCAAGCCCTGAAGTCCTTTTACTAGGACTGTAGGGAAAGAAAGTATTTATTCTTTCATTCATTTTTCCAAGCTCACCACTCCCCCATAATATAGGTT